AAAAGTGAGAAAAAAAATGTGAAAAAAAAATGTGAAAAATGTGAAAGGTATGTATGAATGATCTCGTGTGAATGTGGTGAATGTGAAAGGAATAATCGAAATAATCGAGAGAATCAAAGAGAATCAAGAAAAATCAGAGAATCGTAAGAATCGAGAGAATCGTAAGAATAATTATGAGAACCCAAAGGTAATCCGGTAATCCAGTAATCCAGTAATCCCAATAATTTTGTTCCACCAGAGAAAAAAAAATATGAATTTTTGAAAGTATAAAACAAAAGTATAAAAGTATTAAAGCAGATTGCACCCTATTTATATAAACATGTAAAAAATAAAGTATATCGGTAAAAAAAAAAAAAAAGTTTTTTTTTTTTATATTATTATATATTCTCTCTTTTGGATGTGTAGGATGTGTATGTGTATGTGTAAGATGTGTACGGAGTAATTATATATATAAAAAAAAAAAAACTTTAAATGAGTAATAAATAAATAAATAAATAAATGATAAAAAAAATATACATTATTATTACATTATATTATTAGATTACATTATAAATTATATTATATACATATATTATAATTATTATAATTGTAATAATAATGTATTATAATAATATAATGTATAATGTAATCTTAATATTTTAAGCACAGCGTATAAAAAATACGAATCACAAAAACTATTTGAGAGCATATAATGACATTTTGCGTAAATTAGATGCGCAGTTTACATAAATACAGGATTTATTTAGTATAAAATTGTCGGGTGATTATGAAGATCAGCATTCGTATAAGTATAAAGTATTATATGAGTAGTATTATATTCAGTTATAGTTAGTAGTATTATCAGTTATGAGTAGCAGTAAGTAAACAAGATTAATATAAATATTGAGAGACTTGTGGCGTTTACAGTTTCATCCCGCACGGCTTGAATTTTTTAATTTATCCATAAATAATTCGGGCCACCCGAAAAAAAGTACAATTTTACTTTTGATTGAAATCCGGGCCACACTTTGATTTTCTCGAGAATTTTTTGAAATTCTTGAAAAAAAAATTCTTTATAATTATTATTATTATTATTATAATTTTTGATATTTTTTTACAAAGATAAAATGATGCCGCGTCATAGCGATAGATAGAGTAACCTGATGATGAAATAGTATGAAATACTATAGACAGAAACATTTTTGAACTAACAATCATTTAGACTAACAATCATTTAAACGACACAATGGCATAACAGATTGAGCCTCTAGATTTTTTTTTATTTTCGCAGTGACTACGCACTATCAATTATCAAATTTAAAGTCATGAGATTATGAACAAAATGTTTCACTAAAGAAAATATTCTCGTTTTCACAAGAACCAAGGTTATATAGATAATTTCTTTCGAAAATTCTTTTGACAATTAAGCAAAGACAAAAAAGTAATAAAACTTGAAAATTTCTTCTCAAAAGGATACAATTGATTATACAATTTGATTATAAACAAGCAAATTAACTTTTTTTTTTTTCATACTATTTACCCCATTTTGCCATTTTGAATCATGACAAGTCACTCAGCAAAAAATTGACGCGAATTGAGTTCGTCGCTTAGACTTGACAGACTTGACAACTCACGGAATATTTATTATTATTATTGTTATTATTATTTATTGTTACTTTTGTTATACGTATTTTATTTTTGTTGATTTATTCAAATATATAGAAATATTTAACAAGTAGATTGATTAATCAAGTAGAAATATTCAACAAGAAGATATTCAACAAGTAGATTAGTCAACAAGTAGATTAGAGTAGAGTAGATTAGTCAACAAGTAGATTAGAAGTATATTAGTCAAGTAGATAGAAGAAATATTCAGGTAGTTAAATTCATAGATTCAGGTAGGTAAACTCAAAAATAGGTAGATAGATTCAGGTACTCAAAAGACAAAAATGGAATCGCGAGAATCGAGAAAAGGTTTATTTACAAGACTAACGATCAACTGTAACCGAATCTCTAATTTTATCGTCAACCTTATTGTCAACTTTATCGTCAACTTTATCGTCAATTTTATCTTCAACTTTATTGTCAACTTTATTGTCAACCTTATCGTCAATTTTATCTTCAACTTGAGCGCCAACTTGAGGACCAGCCTAAACGTTGATGATTAATACAAGTTGAATACCATTTAGCGTTAAATCAATAAAATCAATAAAGTCAAATAACGACTATTATCGTTATATATAAATAGTATACAGTATATCTGTATGTTTCTTGATTTTTTTTTTCTTTAATTTATCCAAATATAGATAAATTAAACACGAACATTTAAGACCGGCAAATAATTATCATATACTAAATAATACTAAATAATACGTACTAAATATTGCTAGATACAGCTAAATAGCTAGCTAAATAGCTAGCTAAATATACAGCTAAATACAGATTAAATACTGATTAGATATGGAAGGAGGTCGGAGTAAAGAAAAAAATAACCAAACCATTTTACAATTCATCTAGCATTTACGTACGTAGGTACGTACGTACAGTACGTATCTGGTATCAGTACGTATTAAAGCATTTGTACGAACGTACGTACAAGCCTAGATTCATACAAGCCTAGATTCATACAAGCCTAGATTCGTTTGATAATGCATCGCCACAATCACTAATGCATACAAGCCGCAAACGCAATATTAAATTCGTGTTCGCATTTTTCGATATTCACGCATAGTATTTATGAATTATGATTGGATGATGACAAATGACGAGATCAAAATGTTAAGTTCTATTGTTTGACAAAAATACATTATTACAGTATTATACGTATGTAATCTTTTCTCATACACTCTTTATTTACATTTTTATTCAAAAGTATGAAGTCTCGAGTTCAAATGAGGTGAATAAGCCATGACCATAACGATAAACCGCCTTAGATTTATATGATAAATATATCTGATAAACGTACGTACATATTAATGCGTACGTATTAGTATTAGTAGGTTATTAGTATGTTATTAGTATGTTATTAATATGTTATTAGTATGTGTATTGACGTACTGACGTACGCACGTACGTATGTACGTACGTTCAGTATAAGTATGTACTGTACATATATCTGATATGTACGTACGTAACTTACGGTCTATTACTAACTCAGCCATGATACCCATGATACGCAGCCATGATTCGCAGCCATGATTCGAATTCGAT